GGAAGCAGCCGAGCGCGGGTGGGCCTGCAAAAGGCCACGGAGACACAGCCGGGGCAGGCAGCCCTGCTGTCCCCGCGACCCAGCCTGGGGTTCCCTCAGGGCTTGTCTTCACCAAGAAAAAAGATGCATTTAACAGTGTTCAACCAATCTTTTACAATTTTAATGTCATCAAAGTAATCTGTACTTCATATTTATACATCAGGTTGCACTCTTTTGTCTCTATACTCCTTATGTCAGTTTGTGCAAGATTCAAGGAAACCAGCATCTATTGATCCCCTCCTTAAGGAAAAAGGCACAAAGGGGTTACAGCAGGAAGAGGCCTACGCGATCTCAGAGGAAAGAAGAAGGAGGTAGTGGTTCTTCACCTTGTGGAGGTCGGGAAGAGTTTTCCTGCAGTTACAAACCCTGATTCTTCTCTTTCAGCACAGCACCCTCTAGTGCCTTTGCCAAATAATCCTGGAAACGAATGGTCGGCGGTTGCCCGAGACCTGATCCTCTAAGGGTTACATACAAGAATGCATGCAGTGCAGCTTCAGACTGTAGAGCATTCAATTTTCATTTAGGGGTCACAAATAAATGGCCTCTATATAGACCACTGTCGGTATTAAGACTGAATGGCTAGACTGAATGGCTAGACTGGAGGTATCCTGCCGACTCATGGGTAGACAGCTGGGATCTGCTCTCACTTGAATAGGTGGTCTGCAGGATCCCACCCTAAAACTGGATTAAAACTTTTCTAGAAACCTCTTTTAAGCAAGACAAAGTAACAGAACATTCATCACCCTTGCTGGTAAACTTTAACAACACTTAAATCGCCTTAGTAATTGGAAACCCCATCTTAATTCAAAATCCAGCTTAATTTCAGCATACCACCCATTGGAGCTTCTCTGTGAAATGTAATCCTTGTTCCTCAAAACTTTCTCTCTGTGACTAGGAGCCTACATCGGACAATAAAATCAACTTTTGTTGTTCTTCTCTGAACAAACTGAAAAGACTGAAATGTCTAAGCCTTCCATCTCAAGGCTTACTTTCAAGCCCCGGACTATTTTTATGGCCATTTTGTATATCCTTCTTTGACTGTTTGGAGTTGAAAATCACATTTGGCGAGCAGCACGTTTATCAAGGAAAGATCCTTCTTGTTTTGGGTATCACTTCTGTAGCAAAAGCAGGGCCAGAAGTGCAAATGCAGACAACCAAACAGTGGCAGAAGCTGCGGCAGAAGCTCTTACAGCTGCAGCTGCCAGAGAAGCTGGTGAAGGTAGTAGTGCTGGGTTTCTAGAGGCGGCAGCTAGGAGGGGGCTGAGGAAGGGATGTTTCTTTCTGGCATTCTCTTCCTTTTTATATGTTCAAGCACTGCTTTAGTTTCTTTAATCACTGCCTAATACCAACAGCTTTTGTAGAAGCTGTTGAGACTCATGTCTCCATGTCTACTGTTTTTAGTACCTTTAAAACTGTTACCGTCCTGAAGGCTCCTGGCCATTGCCCTCACACTCATCCTTCAGCGCTCCTTCTCTGTTACCTATCACCGAGTCTTAAAATAATTGCTGGTAGACTAGTCATCCCCCTCCCCCCTTAATAAAGTCCTTCTGTTGACAGTTTTCTCTCTTACTCCACGTTTTCGTATAAGCCGAACGTGTTTCATCCACCAACAGCCCGTCCTTTTTTCTTCCCCCCACCTTCGTGCAATCACAGCTTTCGGGCACACCACCAGAACGTCTGCAGACCCCTCCCAGCCCTTTGGCACTTCGCCCTCTACATTGATGTTCCCCGCCCGTGGCACCAACAGCGCCTTCGGCCCGTTCTGGGGACCGGGCTCTTTCCAGGCTCCCACCCGGACACCTTACGCGGTGGCTCTGCGTCCGGTTTGCGCACAGCAGGTTTAATCAGACCTAGCACCTAGGCAGCCGCTAATTTTAGGTCGGTTATACGTTCCCGGGTCAGAGAGAAGCCCGGTATTCAGCCACGCTTTCTCGTGCGCTGCTCTCTCCCGAGAAACTACCGTTGCCCGCGGACAGCCCACA